ATTCGGGGGGGGAAAGGCAGCCCCTAAGAGAGACCAGAAGAGTGGGCTGAGGAGCAAAGTCTGTGAAGGAATCCGGATAGAGATCCAGAGGAAAACCAACCCGAGAGGAAGGGGGGCGAAGTTACTCCGGGGAACAGGGAGAGGCGGAGGCGCCCACGGGGAGCCCCACGGGGAGCCCCGCGGGGGAGAAACGCGCTCCCGGAAGGCTCTCGGGAGACTACGACCAGAAACCTCCCCCACGGGCTGGGGGTCCCGAGACGCCCAACCGCCCTCCGGAAACTCAGAGCGGGGCAGAGAGGACTGCGAGAAAGCGAGGGGTGCCTTGGGGTCCGAAACCCGGGAGGCCGAGAGGCATGGGCGGGCTGGGACGCCGGAGACCCTGACGGCCCCACAGCAAGTGCGGGAACGGAGCCTGGAAGACGCCCCGGACGAGCAAGCTCGGGAGGGGACGAGTGGGGACAGCGCGTGGGGAGAGCGGGCGGGCGGGCCTCACGAGCCGGACGCGAGGGGCACCTGGCCGTCCCGGGGGCCCCGACAGGGCAAAGGCGCCAGGTGGAGGCAGAGCCCGTCCAGATGCCGGCCACCCGCTCCAGAGTCACCGCCCGGCCGCGCGGCGCGTGCGCACCACGGCTCCGGCGGCGCGGGACCGGACGGGGGCGAAAGGGCGAGGGGGACGCGGCGCCGGGCCCGCGCGTCGCCGGGGCAACGGCATCCTCCCCCTGGAACCGCCGGGTCAATGGGGGTTGAGAGAAGGGGCGCTCGGGGCCCAGGAATTCCGAGGGCGGGGGGCGGGGAGCCCGGCCGATGGCGCAAGCGCGACGGCGCGCAGGCGCAGTGGCCGCCCGCGCCCGCCACACCCTGTCGTCGCTCGCGCGCGGCGTCCGTTGGTGCGACGGCCCGCCAGGCCTCGGGACCCGCTGGGCGTCGGGCCGGAAGGAGACGCCGTGCTCGCCCGCTCGCCCGCCCGCCCGCCGCTCCCCACACCCACCTCAGCCTTTCGCCCCCTGGACTCGTCAGCGGCAGCCCAAGGCGACAGCGACACGGCCACGGAACTGCTCGAGACCCGGCTGGTTCTTGTCTTCCTTGGGCTTCGACGTTCTGACCGCGGCGTCCTGACGTCACGCGGAGGCCTCGCCCCACCTCCCTCGGCCCTGCGCCACCAATGGGCGCCGCGGGTTGATTTGAGCCCGCCCTCCGCTTACGCAAGGGCGCGTGGGCGTAGAAGGCAAGCCGGAAGCCCGGGGTGGGGACGGCGGCCCCGAGGGGACATGCGCGGCTGCAGTGTCGGCCGGCACTGTGCCCGCGCAAGCATTACTATTTTGGCTCCGTGAGTGGTAACCATTGTTGTTCCCAAATACAAGCTAGCGTGAGGTGGGTTCTAAGGTTGCCTCCGCGCAGCGATGTGGAAGCCCAGGGCGGAGAATGATGAAGTCGGACAAAGGGGTTGAGAACAGCCCTCAGCCGGCTACATAAAATTGCAGAGGCGCCCCTGGTCGAGGACGCAGCGCGTGCAAACACGCGGAGGCGGGCGGCGAGCAGAGCCTGGGGACCTGGGGATCACAGGGAGGCCATGGGGGGAGCAGATGGCTGCGGCGGAGTCCGGGGCTGAGCGGGTAGGTGTGGGCAAGTGGGGTCACGGGCTGAGCGCGCTGAGCTGATACGTGTGTGCAAGAGGGCAGGCGGGCAGGCGAGGTCCCGGGCTGAGCGGGTGGGTGTGTGCAGGTGAGCAGGCGGGGACCGGGGCTGAGCCGGTGGGTGTGTGCAGGTGAGCAGGCGGGGACCGGGGCTGAGCGGATGGGTAGGTGTGTACAGGTGGAGGTCCCGGGCTGAGCGGATAGGTCTGGGCAGAGGTCCCAGACGGAGCAGATGGGTCTGCACAGGTGGCAGCCCCGTGGAAGCCTACTGGGGCCAGGCTGGGGACTGTGGACTTGGCCCTTAGCACTGTGATGTGTTTGCATCCAGGCTTCTGTCCGATGACGTGATCCGGTCCAGCTCAGGCACCGCTCTGTGTAGTCATGGGTGGTGGTAGAACAGTATTTCTGAAGCGGCTTCCTTCCGCTTTTTACTGTTAGAAACTGTCGTATTGATGACTGAGTGTCATTTTCTTAGCACAGTTGGTCTTTTTCTGTCCTTTCTCTTAAAAAAAAAAAAAACAAACTGTTGCAGGATAATTGGGGGTTTACAAGAAGTTGCAGAAGTAATTCAGAAACCCTACAGCTGGCTTTCCCTAATGCTGTTATCTCAGATTCCTGTGGTACATTTGGTAAAAACAAGAAACCAGCACTGGCACGTTACTCATAACTGAACTGCAGCTTTGTTTGAATTTCTTTTTGCACTAACGTGTCCTTTACGTGCCAGAGTCCAGTCCAGAGGATCCCGCTGCATTTGGTATCTCTGTACTTTCCACCATTATATTTAAGGTGGGTTTTTGGTACGTAGTGTGTAATAGCGTGTAGTGGGATCTTTGTTTTCATCCAAGCTAACAGCCTCTGCCTTTTGAAAGAGCTGTTTATAACTGTCTTTTAATGTGATTTTTGGTATGATCACATGTAAATCTGTTGTCTTGCTGTTGGGTTTCTGTCTGTCCCATCTTGGTTTCCCCTTTCCCCTTTCTTGCCTTCTGGATTGAGATTTTTTTTTTTTTTTTTTGGTCTATTTTTGAGCAGTTTTAGGTTGGGTCTTTGAGAGGTGTTCTGCCTCCATTCCACTTGGCGGCCCTGCAGCCGGCCTCGGGACCACGGGCAGTGGCCATGTCCAGGGCTCAACTTGATGTCTTCCATGTCAAGGTTCACTCTCCTCCCTGGCCTGATGCTGAGTCTTGAGCGCCATTGTTTCACCTATTTTGTCTGGACTTTTGGTGGTTTCAGGAAGGAGAGCAAATCTAGTCCCTGTTCCTCCATCTTGGTTGAAAGTGAAAAGTCTTCATACATATGATTTTTAAATAAAAGTCGGTTTCCCTTTTGTACAGGTCATGCCAAATGTTCTTTCTTGGTTAAAGCTTCCTGGTTAAAGAGCAGTGCCGGGCCTGTTGGCAGGAAGTCAGGTGGCCTGAATCTTAGGGTGCTCTTGGAATATCCCGACGCATCTGCTTCAGCTTGTGGACAAAGACTCAGGGTCACTAGAGGGCAGCGTGTGAGATCAGAGTGGCCAGAATGGCGGTGGGCCAGCCCAGGGTCTAGCAGCTCAGCCAGCAGCAGTCCAGAGGAGAAAGTCCGCGCACGGCTACTCCACACGGAAAGCTTCGTTGAACTCTCCTTGCAGTACACAAGAGAGACGATTAGGAAGCACGAGACCAGCTGCCCTGTGGCACGTGCCCCTCGAGGGCCTGGCGTCTGGCACTCTGGGCTACCCAGTTCTGACCCGAAACCCTGGTGTACGGGTTTGAGCTTTGGCTCGCTTCTGTTCCGGGAGGCAGCGTGGTTTGTGTCCCACACAGTATGCTACGCTGATGGCACTTGGAAGTCACCCCATCAGTGTTTCCTGAGGGGAGACGCCACACCAGGCGGGGGAGTAATCTGTTTCGACAGCTCAGCGAGTTCAGGGAGACTTGTGGTGTAGGGGAATCTCAGAGGAGGGCCTGGGGAGCGCTTTTATGTTGCCACCCCTCCCCCCGCCCCTGCCAGTGGGGGTGGGCTGAGCTTCTACTGCCCATAGCCATCTGGTGGTGAGCGGCAGTCAGGGCCCTTAGTCGTGGCCCTGCATTTGTCCACTGTGTTGCCGCTGCCTGTCACCCCCAGATCACCTCTCCTTTCCTAGGCTGTCCCTGGAAATCCCAAACCCGAGAACCATCGTGGTCCAGAGAACCCTGCCACGCGGTGATTTATGGGACCCGGTCTCACTCTCTGGCCTTCGGCTCCGAGTTCACAGCCCTTGATACACGTCCTGAGGTTCCATTTCCGTGAAATGAATCCCCAGAGTAGAATGGCCTGGCTGGGGGGTGACACGTGAGCAGACTTGTCCCAGCGTCCGGAGCCACAGCCCAGGCTGGCCCGGGCAGTTCGAGCACTGCTCTGGTGTCATGGCACAGGGGTGGAAGGAAGGCGTCCCTCCTCGGTTCACACTGCACTTCCTCCTCGTCAGGGTTCGGACACCAGCCCTTGGGGGCTGGCTTCATCGAACGGGCATCACAGTTGCTTGTTTCCAAGTTAAGTTGTCCTATTCTTAGTTTACGTAAACTGCATAGTTTATGTAGTAATAAAATCCCATTTCTCTGCCGTACATGTGAAATCAGCTTTTCCCAAGACTACCGATTTGCCTCCTGGCTTTTTAGTTCCACAACTTGTCAAATGAATTACCTTTTCTTTCTTTTTTTTTTTTTTAAAGATTTTATTTATTTATTTGACAGAGAGAGATCACAGTAGACAGAGGCAGGCAGAGAGAGAGAGAGAGAGAGAGAGGGAAGCAGGCTCCCTACTGAGCAGAGAGCCCGATGCGGGACTCGATCCCAGGACCCTGAGATCATGACCTGAGCCGAAGGCAGTGGCTTAACTCACTGAGCCACCCAGGCGCCCTGAATTACCTTTTCTTCACCGGCTCACCCCCTTTCCAGCCAAGGTACAGCATGTAGCAAGAGTCTATTTCCTCTGTGTGATGCGCCTGCCCCTTCCCTTGTCTGCATCTGAATTTTCATCCATCTTGTGTATAGAACGTTTTCTTCCAGACAGAGACCAGCTGTGTCTGCGCAACTTTGAAACCGCACAGCCTTTCACTCTGACTGACATCTGTCTTCTGTCTCTCAAACACTCACATGCACGAACACACACACACACACACACACACACACACACACACATTGAGAGTTCTTCCTGGGTCAGGATATATGTCCTGCTTTTAGAATCGGGCAAAAAAGTCTTATTATTTTAACAACAACAGAACAAACAAAAACCCAGCCAGCGTCTTTGGAAATGCCTGGCAGCCTGGAGGTTGCAGGGGGAGCGCGCAGGGGGTCTTCCCGGCCCCAACCAGGAGGCCAGAGCAGGGAGAAGACAAATAAGGACCCAGCTGCTTGTAAAATAAAGTTTTCCCTTTTATTTCAAATCAACCCATTCCCAAGTTAGTGCTGCAAGATGGGATGATAGCCCTAAGCCCCCTGGGTGTGGCAGGGGCGGGGGCACTCACATCCCTTCAAGGATGGGCCTGGTGGCCAGGAATGAGGCCTGGGGGGCCGGCTGGCTAGCCTCCCCTCCGTGCTAGCCCCAGGGCCCGCCCTGCCCCCTCACTGACTCACAGGGGCAGGGGCGTGTGGGAGAAGGGGCAGGGCAGGGAGGCAGTCCCATGTGGCTGTCCGTGGCCAGAGGTGCTGTTCTTGCTGAGAGCACCATCAGGCTGGGTTAGTGGGGTCTCCTCCGGCAGCCAGGGAAGGAACTGCAAGGAGAGCAGATAGTGCCACATGCAGGTGGGCAGGGCCACCCCCCCCACCCCCCCACCCCGCCCAGAGGGAGGGCGAGGTGAGCACGGCTGGCTGGGGGGGAGCCAGGGTGTAGCTCTGGGAGCTCACCGGGGTGGGGGCCCAGTCTCCAGTCTGGCAGGGAAGAGGGGCTCAGATAGATGACTGCCACTGCACGAAGCGCTTGGATTCCTGTGGGGAGATGGGAGGGGGCATGGAGGGGACCTCGCTTCATAGCACAGGCCCCCAGCCTCTGCCCTCAGGCCGGTGAGTCCAGTACCTGAGGGTTGAAAGGGTCGTCATCATCTGTGTCATCATAGTCGTCACTGGGGGACGAGGGGAGTGGCAGAGAAGCAGGATGGGGGATCCATCAGGAGGCTCCCCCCCAAGCGGGAGCCCAGGGGTCTGCCCTGCACGGCCTCCCCCAGGACCACGCCCTCCCTCCCCTCCTGACCTGGGCGGGAAGAGAGCCCAGGCACGGGGCAGGCTGCAGAGGGCAGTGGCCAGGGCCCCCGCAGACAGCAGGGAGAAGAGCAGCAGGAAGAGCAGGCCTTCCAGGGCATCCTCACACAGGCCCCGCAGGGCAGCGCCGTAATCCTGGGGTGGGCGGGGGAGGGCGTCAGCGGGCACGCTCCCCCACCCCTGGCTGTGCCCCCGGACAAGCACACAGGAGTCACTGTCACTACACCTGCAGGCGTAAACCCAAACCCCCTCTCCACCCCATCGCCAGCCACCAAGCCAGCTCAGCTTCGGTCCAGTGCGGAGCTTCTGACATCGTGAGCCCCACGATTCTCCATGGTGGGGCGTCCCGCGCCGGTAGGATGTTGAGTAGCTTCCTGGGGCCCTGCTCCCTATCTGCCAGGAGCACCCCCACTCTGCCTGTGACCACCACTGCCACATGCCCCCCGGGGCAACATCTCTGGCTTAGAACACTGCTTGGAAGAACCCCCGCCCCCAACTTAGAATTGCACCTTGCACATAACGCACTCTTGGTAAACGCTGGCAGCCCCTCTCGTCATCCCTGGAATCGAGCTGAGTTGTTTCCTGAATGCCCAGCCATCATTCACCCCACAGAGTAGCCAAGGGCCTGCTCTGTGCCAGGTGTGGCTCCCAGTCCCAGGGACGCCTGAGTACCCATGCTCCGGAAGGTCATTTCAGGTAACCATAAACTGAGAGGGGACCAGAAGGCAGGACTGGACCCCAACAGCAGAGACCACCCTTGACAGGAAGGAGTGGTTTGAGGGCTGCTGTGGGCCGTGCAGAGAGGGTGGTGCAAGGGCCTGAGCCTGGGACCAGCCGGGGGGGCCCTTGCAGGTGACGCCAGGAGCCAGACTTTAATCCGTGAGCAGGGGAGTCACTGGAGGGTTTTAGTGGAGAAAGAACTTGATCGGATTGTGGGAGAGAGGCTCACCCAGCTGCTGGCTGTTGGGGAGAACAGATTGGGGGGGGCAAGCAGGGAGACAGGGAAAATGATCTGTGGCTCCTGGGTGGGAGGTGAGGAGGGTGACCAGGGTAGCAGCAGTGGCAGAGGGAGCCGTGCTCCGAGTCCAGATGGGCTTCAGGCGGCAGAGCTTGCCTGGGGAGTGCGTGTGGGAGGTGGGGACAGCCGGCAAAAGGGATGATCCTAGGTTTCCCGCTTGAGCCTCTGCGCGGGGAAGGGGGTGGCAGCTGTGTCTGGTACTTTCACTGGAAAGCCGAGCCAGGGGCCCCTCAGAGCAATGGGGCATTCTTTTTACTGTTTCAGGCACCTAGACCATGTCCTTTCATGTTCCTCCTAGCCCTGCAAGGCAGAGATCTGGGCCCCCTCACACTGCTGCCTTTTGTGGGCAGAAAGTTGAAGCCCAGAGAGGGCAAGCCACTTCCCCAGAGTCACACAACCTGGAAGGGGTAGAGCTGGATTAGAGCCAAATCTGTCAGGCTCCAGAGACACCTTCCTGCCACTTTATCCCTGATGTCCCTCAATCCTGAATGTAGTATGTGGGAACCCTGAAGCCCAGAGAGGGGAAACAGGGGCCCGGAGTCACGGGGTGCACAAGTAGAGGGTGAGACTGGCCCCCCCCCTTCCCTCTGTCCACAGTGAACCTTGGGAAGTGCGATCCAGACCAGGGTCAGCCCGGACTGGAGAGAAATTTGTGGGCCTCAGTTTACCCTTGAACGAAAGAGCAGGGTTGCCTTCTGGAGTCCTGTAGCTCAGGTACTCAGCAATTCTGAGTGTTGATTCCCTGCCCCTCCCTCACCGCCACTGCCCCCTTGCTGCAGTGCCAATCTGAGACGCTCTGGGGACAGCGGGAGCTGTGGAAGGGGTGCGGATCCCAGCAAGGGCCAGGTCAAGTCCGTGCTGTGGGACAGATGGGTCCCTCTGATGCAGTCGCCAGATCAAAGGCAGGATGCCCGACCAAAAAAGTATTTAGTACAAACATGTCCCCACTACGGCATGGGACCTACCTACAGGAGAGAGATATTTGTTGTTTGCTAAATCTGGCAGTCCTGTTGGAGAGCCACTGGGGGGACAGACTAGAGAGGGGACGAGGCATGGGTGCTCCCCTTGGGGGGAAAGACTAGGCCGGGGGGGCAGCAGGTCCTGGGAATGGGAGTGGGGTGAGGAAGCCAAGGGATGACCCTGGACGACTGCCTGGCAGCGGAGGCTCAGAGGCACGTCATGGTGAGGTGCCGTGATGACAACATTTCCTTCAGAGGGCATGACGACCCAGGGCTCAGGGGCGTCCCACCTGTGCCACATCTAGTAAAGCGGGGCGCAGTGAGTCACTCTAACAGACTGTGGCCCCCGGGCCGGAAGCGAGGAGCCCAGGCTGTCGGGCCCCAGAATTCACGAAGCTGCCAGGGCTCCAGGAGAGAGACGAGTGGCGGGGGGCAAGGGGGGAGGAGGCGGGTGGGAGCGGGGCGGGGAGGGAGCCGATGAGGGAGGGCCGGCGGAGCGAGCGAAGGTGACGACAGACGGACAGACGGGGGTGGCGGGGCGGTAGAGATCAGCTCTACGGCAGGCGAGAGAAGCGCAGGGCTGTCCCGGGCTCCCCGGAAGAACCTGGGGGACGGGGCGCACCTTGTGCAGGCCGCGGCAGTGCAGCAGCGCCACCAGCTGGTGGAAGTTTCCTTCCGTCGCATTCAGCGTCTCCTCCAAGGACAGCAGAGGCTTCTGCGCGGGACGGGAGGGTCACCCCACCTGCTCCTCGGGACCCGGCAGGGCCAGGCTCCGCCCACCTCGGCGGGCTCCGCCCACAGGCCTCGGGCCCCGCCCACAGCCTCCCCACCACTTCTGGTCCGAGTCCGGGTGTCGAGGGAGCACCCGACTGCCCACCTGCGCAGAAGGGAACTGGGGGACAGCTTCCCGCTCGAGGCCCTGCAGCTGGGAGTGGATGTTGGCCAGAGCTCGCTGCGACAGAGTCAGCCTCTGCGGGAAGACAGGGGGAGGGCCAGGTAGTGGCCGCCCCCAACCCACTCTCCTCCCCAGGGACACAGGACTGTGGGCCCGGGGGTCCCCGCCCCAGCCCGCCCTCCTCCACCCCGCTCCCTTGCCCGCTCCCCTAACCTGCTGAAAGGGGTTGGAGACCGCCTGGTTGCAGAGGAAGTAATAGCTCAGAATGTCTGAAGTGGGAGGGAAAGAGGAGACACCCATGAGCCTGGGTCCCCGCAGCCCCCCACCCCCGCGCGAAGCTAGGAAGCGGCAGGGCCCTGCCTTCCCACCCTCAGGACCGGGGGCCTCTCCCAAGCCCAGGGGCCTCCTGTGGTGCCCGCCGCCTGGCCACAGGGACAAGCTACCTACACCGTTCCATCACTTCTGCTCCAACCACAGCCAAAAACTGGAGGGTCTCCACACTCCCTGCAAACCTCTGCTTCTGCCGTCCTGCCCTTGACTAAATTGTGCGCATTCCTGGCCAAATCCTCCTGTTCCTGGGGAGGGACTCCCAGCCTTGTCTCCCGACCGCTCTCCCCCAAGTCCAGCATCTGTATTCCTGTCTCTTTCCCAGGCCAGCAGGAGAGGTGCTGAGAGCTTCTGAGACCGGGCACCCACCCTGCCCAAGGGCCTGAGGAGTCAGGGTCTGCATGGGGTTGATGGGGTCACCTGAGCTGAGCCCAGTTTCCTCCTGGGTCAGGTTCAGGATGTAGGTGTCAGGACTGGAGCAGAAGTCACTGAGGCCCTGAGGGAGGCAGGGAGAGGGGGGCTCGGACCAGACACTGCTCCAATTCCATACTCCCACAGAACGGGGTGTCTGGATTACCACCCCAGCCCCCACCATTCCTGGGGAGCCAAAAGTCCAGGCCCCCAGTCCCCCCATCTCAGAGCAGAAGTCACTGAGGCCCTGAGGGAGGCAGGGAGAGGGGGGCTCGGACCAGACACTGCTCCAATTCCATTGTCCCACAGAACGGGGTGTCTGGATTACCACCCCAGCCCCCACCATTCCTGGGGAGCCAAAAGTCCAG